ATGCGCCACCATGCCCAGCTAATTTTTTGTAGTTTTAGTAGAGACGGGGTTTCACCATGTTGACCAAGATAGTCTCGATCTCTTGACCTCGTGATCCACCTGCCTCGGCCTCCCAAAGTGTTGGGATTACAGGTGTGAGCCACCGCGCCCGGCCCATAATCTTCTTTTACAAATGAGAGCAGGGACAACTAGTAGGTAAAGTAACTACAACAGGCTGCACAGCCAGTAAACGGGAAGTGGGTTTGGAACCAGGACGGCCTGATTCCAAAGTTTATACCCTTCACTCTTCTACCACCAGACGATCCTCAAAGAGAACCATTAATGAACGCATCGGGTCCATCATGCCGGCTACAGAATGGAGAATGCAATTAAAGGCAGCTCAACTCAGGCTCCATAATAAGGCAGGGATAGGAAACTGAAAATAAATGGATTCAAAAATATATTCAGGGGTACCAAGAAGGAAACATTCAACATGTACATCCTCCTAGTGTATACAGCAACAATAAAAAGCAGGGTTTTGAAAATGAGGTGTAGAAAATAAAACACAAGTATTCGATAATGCTTCCAAGGATAAAAGGTTTAAAACATGTATCCTTTTCTTTGCTTATAACATGCTCCCAGCTGCTAAATTCAATGAAGGCAAAGACCAGGTCTGTCTTTTTCACCATCAGATGACATTCCAGGTCTGAGCGTCCTGCCTGGCAAGAGATACTCAATAAATACGACTGAGAAGGTAGAAGAAAAAGTCGCCACTTTTTGCAATGATATCGATGAGATGCCGTATTGATCCAGAGTTAAAAACTAACCTTACAGAAAAAATTAGAAAGTCATGTTCATAACTGAGTAGAAAACATGTAGCAGTTATGCTGACTACACGGACAACAGTCATCATTAGGAGCTGCTACATTGAAAGGAAGGCAATGAGTTGAAAACGTGATTAGTATTTTGTATACACCATAACTCATTAAAAATAAGATGTTGTTAAAGGAAGTGGCCTAAAGGTGAAAATGTATTTTATGAGGGGGAAAAACAAGCACAAGTAGACCGAAGATCAGCTTTGAGGCCTAATGATGTCTAGTCTCTTCCCCTGAAAAAATAGCATGAAGAACCTGTATTTCTATGACACTTATACAAATTCTCTGTCCTCAATAAGAATCTACTTTTAGGAAGCTGAAAAGTAAAAGTCATATTTTTCAGTCCTGAAGAGTTACTGTACACTTTACAGTTTTCCCCAAAGGAGTAATTTCTCACTTTTGATCACTTGGGAAGAGTGAATCTAAACAAAGTCAAAAACAAATATAAAAAAAAAATTATGATATATTTCTTAGTGAAATTTGTTCTTATATTTAAATCCTCTGCATACTTGTCAAGTTACTAAACAGAAGACAGGTTTTCAGCTTTTATAGGTGACATAAAAGGAGCTTGTTGTTTTATAAACAGTCTCATTCCCTCACATCTTATCTTGCATTAAGATATTTTGAAAAACGTTTTCAGTTTACCAATTGTCAGAAAAAATCTAAAACTATTTCCTTACGTGAAAAATTAAAATGTAAGTAGAATTAGGTTTCTTGTCTTCAATATATCTGTCTTTAACCTTCAGCCAACTTTGAAAGTTTACTTTGAATCAAATGAATACAAATTAAAAATGACTCATTAATTCAACCATTTTGAAACGTCAATTCTATAAAAATATGAAATCTGTTGGCCTTGCAAAACTGTGTAAAAACCCATATAAAAAGCCACCACACTTTTAAGCTAATTGTTTAAAAGTGTGTATACAGATGAAATGAAACTGACTCATGACTATTGGGTCTGGAATTTGCAAATCATAAATCTTATCCTTGTAAACAGAACCTAACTAACAACATCAGGGCCTGCTAATTTCCTTCTTTTATAAACTGGAACAAACGTTTTAATGATTTTGAACATTCACAGAAAATTAAGGGTGCCATTTTAAATATTTATTAGCAAAATATAATTCAGATTTTAAGAGTCTAGAGGAAAATGAAAGACAGCTGAACATTCTGGTACTACAATGTAGGAAAAATGCCAAGAACAAAACACTCAGATTTTATTAAAACCATACGACTCAAATTTGCGTTAAGACTTTTTGCTTGCAATAGTGCTTCTTCATAATTTGATTAAAAACTTCCATCTCCATGTCACCTTTAATGTAAGCAATAATTTTTAAAAAGCTCTCAATCTACTTCATGTACTCTGAAATTTACAACATTTCTAGACAAACCTAAAGATGAATCTGCCCCTGGGTAGATAAAATGAGCACCTCAGGGTGATGTGGACTATCAGCTCCTCTCCATTTCACCCAAAGTCTACATGGCTCATCTCCAAGTCACCAGAAGTGCCAGGAGGAAAAGAGGGGAGGGGCACGACACATAATATATTAAACATGAAGATGATGTAAAATTACTCAGATTTAACCTTGCCATTTTCCAGATGAGGAAACTAAGGCCTAGAAAAAGTTCTATGACTTGCCTAAATACGCGGTTACGCGGACCAGCTGCAGATACTGTTATATGGCTCACAGCTGCAAAGTCTACCTTTTGGCCCGGCGCGGCGGCTCACGCCTGTAATACCAGCACCTTGGGACTCAGAGGCGACCATGAGGTCAAGAGATCGAGACCATCTTGGCCAACATGGTGAAACCCCGTCTCTACTAAAAATACACACATTAGCTGGGCATGGTGGTGGGCGCCTGTAATCCCAGCTATTCAGGAGGCTGAGGGAGGAGAATCGGTTGAACCTCTGAGGCAGAGGTTGCAGTGAACCGAGATCGTGCCACTGCCCTCCAGCCTGGCGACTCAATCTTTAAAAAAAAAAAAAGTCTAACTTTTGAAGTCTTAGGAGTTTTTACACTTGCCATAACAAATCATTAAGAACACCCTTTCCTGCATATGTATGTTTTTTGTGTTTTTTTCTTCAAAACCTTCAGGGACAGCGGTCAGGTGGGTAGCCTAGTTGGGATTTTTAACCCTTCGGTTTCCAACAAACGATCATTGCAGCGAACCATCAACTCCCTGAAGACAGGACTGTCTTGTTCCAGGCAAAATCTCCAGCCCCTAGCACCCAGTAGGCATTTAGTGAAGGATTCCCGGTTTTCCCCGAGCGTCTCCACTCCCTACCCATCCGTGCTGCCAAGGCGTCAGTGGAGCCAGCTAACTTTCCTTTGGAAATCGCTTATTTTCTTGAAACTTGTATCCAATAACTCCGGGCCAAGAAGCGGGCCTGAGGGCATGCGTGGCCGTGTCCAGGCGCTCAGTACTGAGGAGGTGGCCTTTGGAAGGGGCGGCAGGGAAAGAGCTGGGTGGGCGCGCGGCATCGCCACGGGCGGAGGGGCCCAGGTGTGCTGGCTGCTTTGGCAGCTCAGGCTGCCGCCCCGCGCCGCGGCTCCAGGCCGCCTTCAGATAACCAACTTCTCAAACTTCCCTTTCCGGGGGTGGGGGCTCGCCTCGAACGCGGCCCGCACAACGCCTTTCCTGCTCGCACAAAGGGGACCGAACGTGCCCCGCGCCCCTGGCAGCTGAACTTTCCTTCTCTTTCTCAAGAAAAACTCACACATCCCCGCGGCTACGGGAGTCCGGCTGCGCGGGTGCCGCGGGGGAAACTTTCCTGGTTTCCGCCCGGGCGCCGGGTGGCCGGGCCCGCCTGTCAAGCGCGGCGGAGGGGCGGGGAGCCCAGGAAGACCCCCGGCGCCCCGCCGAGCCCGGGCTGGGGGCCACTCACCCGACTTCGGAACTTGCGGTGGGATCGTGCTGGCGATGCGCGTCCACAGGACGATGTGCAGCGGCCACAGGCCCCTGAGCAGCCCCCGACCCATGGCAGACCCCGCTGCTCGTCATAGACCGAGCCCCGAGCGCGGAGGACGGCGCCTTCCCGGACCCCTGGCTGCGCCCCCGCGCCGCGCCCTCCGTGGACCCCGCGCCGGGCCGGCCGCGCAGAGGTGCGGGCCAGATGTGGCGCCCGCTCGCCAGCCAGGAGGGGCTGGAGGCCGGCGAGGCGCGGGGAGGCCCCCGGCGGCCGAGGAAAGCAGCGCAGGAGGCCGGCTCCCGTCCCGAGCGGGTGCACGCGCGGGGGTGTCGTCGCTCCGTGCGCGCGAGTGACTCACTCAACTTCAACTCCGCGCTGCGGGGGAAACAGGAAACTCCTCGCCAACAGCTGGGCAGGACCTCGCTCCGCCGGCGGCCTTCTGCGCTCCTCCGCGCCCGGCCCCGGCGCTCTCGCAGCTGCCAATCATGCTTCCTAGCCCAGCCCCTGCGAGCGCTTTGGCGACTTTCCGCTGCCCCTCACCGCCCTCCCGCCCCACTCAGGAGCACCTCGCTCCAAGGATTTACTCAGGAGTGACTAAGTGCACGTAGGTCACAAAGTAACACCAGAAAACGTCCACGTTTTCCCTGGTCCATCAGAACATCGGCCGCCTCCCCTCAGCTGTCTGCAGCCTGCCCTGCCCCTAAGTGCTTGAGAGATGCGTTTTCAAATGACACGTTGAGATCCAGCAGTGAATACTCAAATCTAGTGAGTCGGGGGCACATTTCTTTCCCGAATAAAATAGTAACGGTAAGTATGACTTCATTAAACTTTTGCTTCAGTTGTGTCTCTAGCCATGCATGTATGTGCATACGCTGTCAAGGAGTAAAATTTTTTCTTACTGTAGGTCAAAGTCTAGAGGTTTTTCTCATTTGAATGTATATATTGATCACCTGGGAATCTTGTTAAAAGAAAACGCAGATTCTAATTCAGTAGGTCTAGGAGGCAGGTTGAGATTCTGCTTTTCTAATGAGCACCTGGATAGAGCCTCCCACTTTGCACCGCCTCTTCCTGGGGCTAACTGTACATGATCACCTATCACGAAGCAATAATGGTGGAAAATGTAATTTTCAGAATGTATGCAGTATAGCAGAAACTGTAAAATTAAAAGTGGCTTGGGAGTCACCTGAATACTGGTGCTTTTATTCCCTTAATACAGGTCAAGAAAGAGAATACTTAGCCCCTTCTGTGCAAAAGGAGTAACATGGGCGCGGGACAGCATAAACTTTCCAATTTCCTTTCTTGCCAGGACAACCAGATTTGCCCAAGACGTTCCTCTGTGTACTTGTTTTATAGTTTAAATGTTAATAGAACCCCCTTTCTCTTTCAGATACATCCTGACTGGATAATAAACTATGTGATCAACGTACTTCCAGCTCTCAAATATATGATTCTGTACAGCCCTCTGGTCAGATCTTCTGGCGACTCATTCAATGAATTCCTTTACCTAAGAGGCCAGGGTTTGTGCCACGGTCTCCAGGGAATAAAGGTAAATAGCCCTCCCCCAAAGCCGACTCCCAAATCTTCCCTGTGATTCTAAGAGTTCATTTGCTTCATCCTGGAATTTTAACTCTTGCTCCACCTAACACACAAGCTGCCTCTGCTTGTTTTGACACATCCTAGCTCTCATGTTGGAGATGCAGAAAGTGCAGTGAAATCAGGAGGGCTAGGCATCTTCTTTCCCACCAATTCATTGCCTTGCCAAGGCTGGTGTGACTTTGGCAATAGAGGAAGACTGAGTTCCAGATCTTCTCCCTATTGCCGCTTCTGCCACCAGCCCATGTCACGACCATCCCTTGCGTAGGAGCCTCTCACCAGTCACCCTCAGCCACGGCCATTCTGGGCTCTTTCACTCAGTTTCTCAAACCAGAGCTGAATACAAAACTGGTTATACCAACCCTCTGATTAAAATCATTTAATGGCTTCCCACTGCTCTTGAGATAAAGAGAAGATAAAAACCAGATACTTGAACGTGCCTTCAAGCCTCCACCTCCCCTGTAAACGTTCCTTTGGCTTCTCCTTGCTTGCTGAAAGCCTTCTCCAAATTCCATGAATGTGTCTCTGTATCCCTCCTACTCTTTATGCACAGAGCCTTCCCCAGTATGGACTTCCTTCCTCTGTCCTTGTTTTCTTCACCCAGCCAACTCCTGGTCTTCGTGGATTGAATCATAACTTCTCTGATGGGCAAACTTTCCCTGACCTCCATGAGTAGATCTTTTATTTTAGGTTCTCATGGCACCATATGCCTTTCTTTTAAAGCACTTACTACAGCTGTCCCTTTATAATTATTTGTGTCATTCTTTAATTTCTATTCCTATCCTCCGCTCAACTCCAAATTTCTTGAGGGCAGATATATCTTTCCCTCCACTTACTATTGTGTTCCTAAGCATCTAACATGTAATCGGTGTTTGATAAATATATGTTAGATGAATAAATGAATCAAGCAATAAAGATTTAGAAGAAAATTTAGAAGGAAATTGATCGTTCTAGTTACTTCATAACTCTGGAGAAGACATTGTTACCTAATAGTTTGAGATATAAACAGACTGCATTTTAGCCGAGAATGATGTCACCATTACTTCCTTTTCTGAAGAATGGAGAAGTATGTGGGTTTCTTTCTTTTTTGTTGTTTTTGTTGTTTTTTCTTACATTTGCCCAAGTTCCTCTGGATTGCATACATGTACTTTCTTTCTTCTCAAAACGCAATGTGGCAACTAAATGTCCAATGGGTTCCAAAGGCTTTCCTTTCCATAATTTTCACAAAGACAGATGCTTTACATTGTTGGACGCTAGGTATTTGAATCCATCGTAGAATGTTTAACTGGTGTTCTTTGTCATCGTACATCATTAACATTGGTTTTGATTTTGTTTGTCCTTAACATTTCTGATTTAATCTTTAATCGCCTGTGAAATTAAGAAGAATCAGAATTCAGCATTGCCAAGTGCAAACTAGTCTTTTGAAAATCATCATAATAAAAATAATAGAGATGTAAACTCAGGTATACTGCAATTTGATAATTTTAAAAATTAATCAGGCTGGGTGCAGTGGCCCACACCTGCAATCCCAGTACTTTGGGAGGCCTAGACGGGAGGATCATTTGAGCCCAGGAGTTCGAGACCAGACTGGGTAACATAGTGAGACTTCATCTTTACTAAAAATACGTTAAAAAATTAGCCAGGCATGTTGGTGTGTATCTGTAGGGCCAGCTACTCAGGAGGCTGAGGTGGAAGGATCACTTGAGCCCAGGAGATCAAGGCCACAGTGAGTCATGATTGTGCCCCTGCACTTCAGCCTAGAAGACAGAGTGAGACCCTGCCTCAAAAACAAAACCAAAAAAAAAAAAAGAAAAAGAAAGTGTCATGATGCCCTTCCTTTTGAAATTCTTATTGAAATGAATGTCTGATACCCTCAATCAAGACATTGTTTTCCCACATAAGGCTTTAGTGTAATATTTTGTGCATTCGTATCAGCAGTTAATGTGTACATGTAAAAAACCGGGCCATTTGCAAATGGGGACAAAAGAATAATAGCCTGATTCAGGGTTTGAAAAACAAGGAAGATAATTTTTAAGCCCTTAACGAGTTGAAAAACAGTAAATATCAATTTGAACAGAAATTTTAAAAGTTGGCAATCTTTATTTTACCAGTTTTACAAACTCTGTGCGCACCCGTGTGCGCGTGCACACACACACGCACGCACACAGTTGAACTGCATCTAAGTGTGGTTTATTTAAACCTTGCATCTCTCAGTTGTGATAAGGGAAGGACTTCCTACTTCTCTGAGCTTTTTGTCATGTAGCTGTTGAGGTTACTGTCAGCTAGCGCAGTTAACAGGGAGAGTCTTCTCCTTATAAATTAACCAGTCTCATTCTCAGCCCTTATCTCTTGACCAGTTTTCCTTTTATTGTGAAGCAAACCAATAAGCTACTGAGACTGTAGTTAGCTTGTGAGGGTCATACACCTTTTGTGGGTCATCCAGGATGCCAGCTCCTCCAGGAAGTATTTTGTGATGCTTCACCTACTATGCTTACTCCTTTCCCAGGGATAATCCAGGGAGCATTTAGTTTATTCAGCCATTTTTTTTTTAATGTTTGCCCCATTCTAACATGGAGTGCATTATTGTTATTTATTTATTTATTGGAATACTTCCATACCAATTGTAAAGTTTTTGAAAGCACAAAATATTCCTTTTTCAACATAGAACCACACTCAGTGCTCTACAGATAATAGTCAGTGTATGTTTCTTGTCTTCAACAGAGAGAAAAATAGTATCAGCTTTCCTAATCCATTCTCTTGTTTGCAGGTCTTCACAGATATTAATAGAACTTGCAATTATGTCACATGTGTACAGAAAGCATTAATAGTATGTTTTGAAAAAATAGCTTTTTGAAAATTACAAGGATAATATATGTTAATTGTGGGTAGGAAATATAGATTTTTTTTTTTAAGGCAGAAGTTAGAAGGATTCTTAACCCTCTTATCCAAAGATAATCCTTGTTAAATTTTAGAGCATGTCATTGCAGTACTATTCTAATCTTTCCCTTTACAAATGAAGAATTTGAGGATTAAAGGGATTAAGTATTTGGCAAAGGTCTCATAGCTAGGGAAAGAACAGAGCCCAGATTTGAACTTAGTCCTGTCTAGCTCCAGACTTGTTCCACTCTCCAGAACAAGTTGATCAGATAGTTCATCTTTGCCACCTGACCAGTGAAGGATTTCAGGAACTGCCACCCCAGAATACGCTGCTTTGGTATACTGATTATTTTCAGTGGAAGGCAATTAAAGAATGGCAAATGCGGGGAGGATGAGAGACATGTGGAACCGATGTGAACCAACCTCCTGATTGAATCTCAGCCAGACCTCCATCAGCCAATCTCAAGCCTACCTCTAGCCCATCCATAGGGGTCTGCGGAAGAATAAGTCAATGCTGTTTAAATCACTAAATCTGGGTTGGTTTGCTGTCTAGAACTTTCGAGGCAATAACTAAGAGATATAAGGGATATAAAGGGTAAGGAATCATAGAAAAGCAAGGTTAAATAATTTTCAATTGGTAAAACTACAAAGCTTCTTGCAGACAAGAACTACCATGAGGTTTGTTAGTGGGGGCTGAAGATAAGGAAGGCAGTGGGACTACAATTTAGACTTTTAGGGTTACCTACAAATTAAATTATATATACAGTTAAAGAGTATGACCAACATCCTTCCTTGTTTACTTAAAGTCCACTCTCTCTCCCATCTTGCCATTAGTTCACTAATTTTGTTTAGGATTTGGAAACAGCTTCTCTTAAGGAAATGCCCCGTCCTTGTCTAAGGGTGGATGTATGATCCAGTTCTGGTCAGTGAGCTGCAAGAAGAAATCTGATGGGGGCTCATGGGAAATTTCTTTTTCTACCTG